TATTTATGATAATATTAAATAGACAATAAAGGTATTTGTCAAGAGTCCATTCCATTATGAATGGAAAACTGTCAATTTGTTAAGATGTGAAACAAATATGCATTAGCATTATAACCAGAATATATCACTAACCTTCTGTAAAGAGCTTTGATATTTTCCCTTAGTACAGGGTAATCAAAGAACACATCTTGACTATCTTCAATATCAATGGCAGCCAACTCAAAGTCGAATTGACCAAAATGCTCACTCCACTCAAACCACAGCTTTGATATTAATTCCTTCCTAAAGGAGGTATTGTGATCATCCTCCTCGTGAGATTCAGCAGCAACCAACCTATATATGTAAACTTTTTTCTCTTGACCTGGCCGAAATGCACGCCCAATTGCTTGACGAGTAACTGAAGGGTTAAGATGAACATCTAAGATGACAACTCTAGATGCACCAACAAGAGAAACGCCCTCCCCACAAGCTTTAATGGATCCAAAGAAAATCTTGGCATCAGGGGAGTTGTTGAATTGGTCCATTGAACGTTCTCGATCTTCAGGACTAGAATCACCAAAGATGACAAAGATTTCTTTTCCAGAACGCCATCCCTTTAGCGAAATTACCAACCTTTCTAAAAATTTCAACGGAAGAAGGTATTGACTAAAGACGAGCATCCTCTCCCCAGATCGCTCAGCCATCGCCAACAGATTTAGAAAGAATTTTGCTTTTGCCCCATCTGCAATATTTATGGATTCTATGATAGCATCGACCTTTTCAATGCTAATACCGTTATCCTTAACCCCATTATCATTTTCTCGAAGTTCCATTAGTTGTGGATGAATATAAATGGCCTTCTCCAAAGAGCTTTTCGTGAACTTATCAAGCTTACCTAACTTTCTGATAATTTCTTTCTGCTTCGAGCCAAGATTCAAAAGTACAGTGAAGTCTATCAATCCAGGGAGTTCATCCAAGAAATCTCCTTTGTAATAGTGAAGCACATCTCGTGTCATGTCCCTGAGCTCTTGGATGACTGCAATTTTCCTCTTATAGTTTTCATCACTCCGTAAAGTCTCCTCAACCAACTCACAGAAATATGACTCCTGGTTACCCTTGGTTGGCTTCCTGCCACCTGATATATGTACACGGCTCAAAATACGCTTGACAATAGCTCGTGACTTCTCACTCTTCATAAAATTTGGGCGTACAAGCTTCAGAATATTGAACACTTCTCCCACATGATTCTGGAATAAGGTTCCTGAAAGTACTACTTTGCATGGAGTTCTAACTTTTGCAAGTGAATCCACCATGTCGGTGTTATCATTTCGTGGAGTATGGCCTTCATCAAGAATGAGAAGAGTTGGGATCTTTAAGAGCTTTTCCTGACACGCTGCTGTTACATTGTTATTGCCACCTTCACAGATAATATTGGCAAACTGCTTGTAGCCCAGAAGTAGAATACTCCTGTTTTCTTGCCACTTGTTTAACATTTCCAATTGTTGCGATCTGCTATCAGCCTTGGAGGAGTAAAAATCATACAGAGGGATGTCTTCCACTTGCCAGCGCTGGAATTCTTTTCTCCAGGTAGACAAAATGCCCTTTGGCAGAACAACTAACGGCCTTGCATGAAGATCCTTGGCCATAAAGCTCTGGATAAAGCTTATGAGCATAAATGTTTTCCCAGACCCAGGCGCATGAGCCAATATGCAACCCCCTGGGGGATCACCCAGCAAATTTTTAACCAAGAAGTTAAAACCTTCTATTTGATGGGGCTTCATCTGCTTCATGTGTCTTGGATGGATAGAAATATCTGCAGCAAGAAGTAAGTGCTCAGTGATGTCCTTCCCAGAGGTTTCAGCTATGTCACCCAAATTGGAATTTCTTGATCCAGGCATGTAAGTCCTTGTCGATCGAGTGCCCTGGTAAGTACGAGAAATTGTAAAAACTAATTCAGTAGCAGAATTGCAATTTGATTTCGGGAAGGAAAAAAAATGTTTAAGAATTCAAATCATATAGGCAGTAATAATATGGAAACAACACAACTTAATCAGCCCCATGGACCATTTTGCATGTAGATCTTTAGAAATTTATATGGTTCACATTATCGTGATAACTAATAACAATTTATTTCATTAACGTAGCAAATTGAAAGAATTATAAGTTGGAGCTTGACAATAGTATATTAACGAAAAGAGAGAGATATCCCTGCGCCGCGCACGCGCACATACACATATAGTTTTTTTTCTTTTATTTGCAGGAAATGTTTGGAAGGTTTTACCTCTCTACTTTATGTAATATCGTCAAGAATATTTAAGCTTTTTTCCCTATGGAAAAAAATTATGATCAACAGAGGGGCTTTCCAAAAATTTGAAAGGTGAAACTTGACGTAGATGTCCAAATTTAAAACTCATTGTCACATCCATATTCTAATTTGATTTTGATGCCACGTATACTTCTCTAAAAACACTGATCAAACATTACCGCTTTCATCGAGAAAAGACCTTTTGGCAATAAACTTGGCACGGATGGTCCACATTTAATCTAAATGACAATTAGTATTTCTCTTTACTCTTTTCTCAAACAACTCATGGATGCTATTTCTTTTTATAGCTCAAAGAGTGAGAATCATAACAAACGAGGTAAACATAGTCATACAAGACAATTGTGGCCCGTCCCTCAGAAGATTTTAAGATCCATTAGAATATTTTTTTATTCTAGTAATATTTGATATGATCTTTATCAATGTTTTAAATATTGGTAGCCATGTCGGACATGTTGGCCGACATGTTGGATTTAGGGGTCAATCAATACGATATGAAGCTTTTCAATACGTATTGCATTTTCAGGGTTCATGTCGGATATATCGGGGGACATGTCAAATATGTCGGGCGGATATATCGGAGGACATGTCGGCTATGTCGGTCGATTTTTCAGTCTGAAAAATTGACTAATTTTTTTATGTTTATTTAATCAGGTTTGGTTTTAAATTCCTTATTGTCTTAATATTGCTCCCAAAGACAAAACCCAATCAGTTAGGAAAAATAGAAGAAAAAAAGGCCAAAGTCATTTTCATCCCTCCTATTTTCTCTCCTTCGACATCTCATCGGTCTCTTCTCCGAGATGTTCTTTGACATCAATATCGGGGATCTTCTCTCTCCTTAACCGCCAACATCGAACTCCTCTTTTCTCACTTCCTTCGTTCAACATCAACCGTAAGCATTATAAGTTATTTACTTTTTTATATGTTTAGATAATAGAATTTATTAAGTATGTTTAGATTTTATTAATGATATTTATATTACATATATGCACACCATCCAATATGGCAATCCAATATTTTTTTCATGTCCCCCGACATAACCCCAATTTCCGCTATCCGATATGAATTTTAACCATCCGACATTTAAAACATTGATCTTTATTTTAGGTTAAGACATGATGTTAAGAGTTTTAGGATCTTAGAAATTTTATTTGATAGACATCCTCTCTGTGGATGGGATTTGAGAGTTCATGTAGGGTTACATCTTGGTGGTAGGGAAGCTCAATCATATTTGCAAGAAATGTGGTTAACCGAGTTGAATCCAGTCTCAAGCTGGTCAATATGATGTCAGAAGAATGAGAATGTGTTGATTAAATTTTTGCAGCCTCGCAAGTACCATTGCAACTTTTCAGATTCATAGTGTAGACTACACACAAGTTTTAATTGCAAGAATGAAGTTCCTCGCATTCCAATGTCCTAGTCATTACTACACCATACTAGAAACGGGGTGAAAAATTGAAAACCTTGCACTACCCACTTCTGAAGACCTCAAGATGATAATGAAGATTTTTAAGAGCTCCCTTCATCTTACCTGTTTCCTCAAGCCCTCATGTGACCCATTTCTAAAGCTGGCAATGACAATAGTGTTCCTCGCAATCCATTCTCTAATTATTATTAAACTTCTTAATAGAGAAAAAAACTGAAGGTTACGCACTATTCACTTCTGAAGGCCTCAAGATAATAATGGAGATTTTTAAGAGCTCCATCCCTCTTTCTCAAGCAATCTATTTTGTTCAGCCTCAAAGATCTTTTTTTCTCAAGCCCTAACGTGAAACATTTCTAAGGGAAGCAATGACAAAGTCCTCTATCAACAATGACAAAATCCTCTGCCTCCTAAGATCCCTTTTTGCTTCCTACTCAAGTTTCAACCCTCCATTTTTTTACTCGTCGAACCTTAATATCGGAACCAAAGTTCTTGGGTACAAATTTCTTGGAAATATTACCTCCTTACTACTCTCTTGTATCGCAAAGGATCCCAACCCTTCCCTTCAACATTATCACCTAACCGTGAAATACTTAACATTGTATCTCAAAAGAGTCGTCATTATTACCTTAACTATAGAACACCAATATTGTGTCTGACAACTATTGAATACCAACATCCATGGGCTTAGGATGACACCATCTTAGATGCGCTCAACCCTATCCACTCTAACTTCAAATTTTCAAATTAAAATTTTCAGCTTGAAGATGTAGGAGGATACTATTTTGCTTAGTGGACCGGCAAGATTAAAATTGACTTGCTTGTTATCTATTTACCCAATAATGAATAGTTAAAGTGCATGGAACTGTAGCACATTAGTTCTCTTTCTTGCATTCCCTGTGTGATGAAAACTGAATAAAGAGACTAACATTATTTGCTAGGCATCAACAGCTCTAAAGTAGCACATTATTATTATTTTTTTAAAGTAATTGACTGATTTATCGTTCGAACCAAAGTTATATTGATAGATATCACTATTTATCTTGTGTTTGCACGCATGTTTATACATAGTTTCATATTTCCTACTTATAGCAAATATAACTTAAAATATGCTTGCATATTCCGCTCATAGAAAACTAACAACCCAAATTAATCATTTCCAACCTCTTCTTCGATAAATCATGTCCTATTAAACCTATAAATAGTTTTGATGTTATCTTTTGTTGGGTAGGGGTTGGGGTTGATATTTGCAATTCCAATTACCCCCCACCTGTCAACCACCCTTGCACCGAAAAAAATCCACCCAAACCTGACATAGAAAGACGGTCTATGATTGTCCTGCATCACATCCCCACCCCAAAATAAAGGAGAAAAATTATTTTGTTGGGAAAATATAGAAATATATATATTCTGCTATCGATCTCCTTCCAATACAATAATCAAACTTGCAAGCGTAGGGAAAAGAAATACATTTTAAACAAATAAAGTTCCATGCTATCACCAAAAAGGATCAATGAGTGAGAGTGAACTTTAAAATAGCCTAAATTAAATAAGGACATAATATAAACATGCATGATAGAAGAAAAAGAGTTGGTAGCGTACATAGAGTTGGGAAAGTATCTACTACTACCTTCATCCACTGGTAATCGAAGATTGTGTCAATTCTCTTCTGAATGACTCCACAAACACGACAAACAAGTCCGAGATCATCCTCAAGCATGAAGGAGTGAGCACAATCGTCCTCTTCTTCCTGAACAAGATTTGATTCATCTGTTGGCATTTCATCCTAGAGCCAGTGCAGTGTGGAATGAGTATATTATCAAATTACATATGTTATAGAATATAGGAAGCAATCAACCTAGTAAAGAATAGGCAATACTAATTGCATGTTCATACACAAGGTCGACTGGATAAAGAGAACAACTTTAGAAAATGAAAGAATAATTATTCATTTCTTGCTAAAAAACTTGAACAACAACATAGTGCAATAAAACGTCGCGAGCAAGATAATAGCATAGCTACAAACGAACAAATAAAACTGTAATCGTATCGTCTAAGTTTGTGTTATGAATTAACTAAATTATATAATTCCCTAATATTGTGAGTTTGTGACAGTATAACCAAATGCAAAGGGCAGACTGCCAGCAAATGCGTATTTATAGTTCAAGCTGCAGGCTACTGATGATGATTCAAAGGATTGTGTCCATTAAATAATATCTGCGAAAATAAATAATTGTCTTTTCAAAGTGATTGTATTTTAGTTAAATAGAACGTTACATTATTCTCTTATGTTCTTGATTGCATGTACTAGATACTTGCCGCATGTTAGTTAAAAAGCACCTTAGAATATTTTCCTAGTTTCTTGATTGCATATGTGAGATACTTGCCACAAGTGGCTTCCCAAAATATCAGGAGTGCAAGACACCAGCGGATTGATCTCTAACCAAATAAAAAGAAGGAAAATTTACTAAAACCTATAAGTTAACTATTGTTATTTTCGACATACAATGCTGCAACCACAAATTAGACGCTGAGTCTATAAATGCTAAATGAAGAAATGACATTAGCTTACAAAGGAATGACATTTTTTAAATGGAGCACAAAATTTAAAACTAATGTTGTAGCCACTAACTAGGATTTAGATAATAACAACACCTAGAAAAGTAAAACCTATAATCAAACTTTGGAATTAGTCCATGAAGCCTTTTCTAATCTTGAGTCGTATCAAGGACTATCTCTTCCATCAAAATAATGTTACGATGGTCTTATTGAAATATACATTAAAAGATAAAATAAGAAATGAGGGCATAAATAGGAGATCAGAGTTTGCTCCTATGAGGGTAAAATAAAATAAGAGAGAAGTCAAATGATATGGATCGGTCAAGTACAATGGAGATCACTAAATGAACCATTTCAGAAAAGTGATAAGATTATAGTTAACAGGGCTAAGGAGTAAGGACTAGATGAAGGTCCCAACAAACTTGGTTGAAAACAATTAAGAAAGATACAAAAATAGTTAACTTAGTGGAGAATATAACTCATTATAGAAATAGATGGAAGAATAGAATTCATGTAGATGATCCTAAACTTTGTGGTGGATGCTTGGTGGTTGTTGTTGTGGTGGTTGTGATATCTTTGATCAAATTAACAACTAACATGCTCATATTAACAACCGCTCATAATCTCATTTTTTGGGCTCATCTCTAGTTATCGTTGTGCCAAATGGCGGATTTATGATTTCTGGAAAGTGGTGTCACCAATTCACCCGGTAGTTAATCATTTAAGAGTGTTACAAATGTCCTCGACAGGTTTTCATATTTTGAAAAAAATACATAATTGCATCACGAATAACAATATAAAATGCCTATTTCTCAATATATGTCAATAAAACAATCATTGATCTGATCATCTTTATATTAGTAAGACTACCAATCATAGCATCATTAGTAACTCTAGCAATCATCCCTTACAAGGTGGGTCCAGATCTTTCATTCTGATTGGGCACCAAAAAATCAAGCATAATGTGTATGTATTATTGTATATACATATTATATATAGTGAAATGGAACTTAATTAAAATAGAGACCGTCAAGTATGGTATACTAAAGTTTAAGGGTAAGAAGTTTGGGTGAGGTAGAAATCCAAACAAAATATTAGTTTGGGTGCACATGAAAATGTATGCGCAATGATGAGTTGAAGTTCAAATTTTTAGAATATCTACAGACTCTCCTATTCACTTGGTGGAATCCTATTCACTTGGTGGAAGTGGTGTCACGTGAAACCAATTCCTCCAAGGTAGATCAGCTATTAATTGCCTATGATTCCATACTTTTAATGGGTGCGCTCAAAGAATCTTAACTGTTTTACTCTAATTTTATTCTAAAAGGAAGCTACCTCCGAGTCTCCAACTTGTCGTGCATGTATTAACTTTTCCCTATCTCTTACCACATGTCAATCGTCCATCCTATCATCAGCATACATATAATAGTAAATTGAATTCTACTTCTTTGGAATGCTCTAAGTTCACTAAGCATGATTTTTTTAAGAATTATTTGCTGCCCCATTTGGTCATAAATTAAATCTATTCCATCATCTTGATAAATAATTTATGAAAGTAATTCCACCACTTGACTTTAACATTATCAACAATTACTAGGACCATTTCATATTTATTATTTACTTTTTACACATTTAACAATACCTAAGACTTCATTATTTCTCTCATTTAGCAAGATTATCAATACATGCACACAATCATAATTTGCACACAGATATCTTTCTATCCTTCCTTTCTTGAGCTTCCAACATAAATCCAAATGAAGTAGGGAATTATACAATCACTTTCATGATCTCGTTCTCTAAAATCTTAAAATTCTCAATAAAAATTACCATTGCTACGTTTTATGGATGTTTATAAAACTCTCTTCACTTTGCACCTTCTAGACTTCCTTGCTTCACTACCAGCTCTCTTCAGTAGGCCTTCGTTATCTCTGTGTTCTCAAATATTTTATAGCTACTTTCTTGACGCAAGTGGATGTTACTCCATTTGATGTTTATGTCCATTTTTATTCCAACTACCTTTTTCTTTTATCATTCTTCTACAAAACTTCACCTTCTCTCTTTAATTATATTGTCTAGTTTCTTTGTCCTATATTAAATTAAGCTCTTCTCTTCCACTCAACTATTTTCATATCCTTCAGTTGATCAAGTGAGACAACATAGAGAAGAGGTAAAAATAAATAAATTCTCTTCTCAAAAATATCAATTCATCTACGATCTTGAACATAGAGAATATTGTCTAAGAATGTAGTTAGTGTCAAACCAGTTTGTACCATAGACATGAATCTGCCCGCAAAGCGTGTGTGTTCAAAGAAATTGTAGAGCTATCAAAAGGTTCTAGAAAGGTAGATTGAATAATGAAAATGCAAAATACCTAAAAGAATAAAGATGTGGACTGATTCCAAAAGGTTGAAGGACAAATAAATATACAAAAAAACAAAAATATCACAAGTGATGAGCTCAACAAAAAGGTCTTAAGGAATATAAAAATTAGTTAAATACCTTTGAGAATTCTGTTGCCATAGACATATCTTTCCAAATATCTTCTAACCCGTCACTTTCTGATGTTTCTGTATCATCATGATGAGTCATGATGGTTGGTGTGTAGTAATGGTCCTCAGAGGAAATGAGTGGTGAACTCACTTGAGTAGCTAGAGCATCATCTTCTCTTCCATCTCTTGCAACTTTTACTCTTTGACTCTGCACAATGCAAATCATAAAAAGATGACTTGTTATAATTAAATATGACTTTTCTAAACGAACAGAAACGTCAATAATATATCAACAAAAGAAAATATCTTAACCTTCTCTATATTCTCTATAGAAGCACCTTCCCTTTTTCTTGTTGTAAGATATTGTCGATTCTGCACAAACAAAATTTTCTATAAGAAAGCATATCTTAACTCATATCACCAACAGAAATATTTCGGAAAAAGTCTGGTCGATAATAACTTAAACAATGAAATAAAGTTGTATAAAGATTACAAGTATCATATACCAAGTAATCAACTTCCTTCCATAAGTGTAAACAAAAAGTTCATGCACAAAATACAAAAGACGAAAATGAAAACATAAAGACTAAACAACACCACATATGCAAATAAAGAATATAGATTAGAGCTATATAATTTACACTCCTCAATACATCAAGAATAAATAGTATATTCCATGTTACCTCCCTTATTGGAACACAATAATGATATATAGAAAGGTCCTACCTAGAGTTACTTTTGCTCAAAGCAAAAGATTTGACTTGGTTGTGGAATGCTAAACATTGCACCAGGTATTAACCAACAAACTTATGCTCAAATGTTTTTCAAACCAGTTTCATCCACTACTCTGGTTAACAATGTCCATCATCTATATAATAGCCAAAACATTTTTACTACTGTAGAATTGGCAATGTAATGAAGACTTCGGGATGCAATATAGCGAAGATATCATAAGATAATGTGGTTTGTTAAAATTTATAAGAGTTTATACGAGTGCAACCTCATTAACTAATTACCTATCGTGGTGTATAAATGTAAGTAACTAATGATTAAGTAAAGTCCAATTAGTCATTAGTTATTCTTAAGCCTAGCCGTCTGACTTAGTTGCCTCCCATACTAACAATTAATCCCCCCCCCCCTCGTCGATGCATAGCAATTCCAGAAGGAAATCACCCCTCATATTCATCTCATTCTCTCGTCACACTCTTCCTTGTTCTTTTTCTCCTCCATCCCTCATCTCTCCAGAGTTAGTGGCGCATTGCCAATCTCACATTTTCCTTACAATCAACCTTCCTCACGCTCTCCTAAAATTGGTCGACCACCTCCCCACCACATTCACCACTTGCCTTTGCTTGGTCACTGCTAAAGCTCATCCTCATGTTCCCCTTCGCTACTAGCCACCATTAAGAATAGCTAGACACCTATGACCGAAGTTGCATGAGAACGAATACGGGTACAAATACCGGTGGGGATACGGGACATAGTAAATTTGTAAAATATAGGGTACAAGAACATAGCTATACATTTTTATGTTTTTTGTTATGTTGATTGTTACAAATTGGAAAATGCTCATTTTTCAACTAGACATTCAAAAAACTCCTTAAAATAATAGATTTTAAAATTAAGCAACTCCTTAAAATAAAAGATTTAAACTTGTACCCTCAGCCGCACCAGTACCTATTCTCGTTCTCGTTTCCATACAACTTAGCATGAGTACTTTTATCATGAAGCTGTACCTGTACCCAACACATCTGACATGTATGCTTACCAAAATTTCATAAACACTCCTTGGATATATGCATGCATTTATTCACACATATAATCAATTATATGATATATGTTTAATTTTAAAACAATTGTCATACACTTCTTGGATGTATATTCTACACTTCACATTCATTTCCTGAAACTAAAAGGAACACACGGAATCCTTTTGGTGGTCAGTGGAATTTTATTTATAGAATATGATTGAATTGCGTAATATAAAAGTACAGTACGTACTTTTTTGCGAAGATTAGGTTCGGGGTTATTAGAAGAATTATTTATCCATTTTGCAAGTTTGTTATTAGGGGTAGTTCCTACAAATGATCGGACTAATGACTCCTTTCTTCTATTTTCTTCCCTTTTATGTTAGATATGTGACATGGATATATTTTTATATATTATTTATTTTCTATTATTATTTTTTCACTTTTCTCATTCTATTTTTGCATTATCCATATATCATACCTTTTATTGTAATTTTACTTTTGGCAACATGGGTCACACTCCATCCAAATCGTTGAAGTGACTAATTCCTAGAAATAATAGGCGTCGAGGACAAAGAAATCATTGGAGTTACTATTTCTATCAGCATATTGCAATGTCGTGCAATGGATCAATAAAAAAAATTATATCAACATATCAATTCTTATTATTGCTAAAGAAAAAGCTTTTATTGCAGCTAAATATCCTTTTTTTCTTCCAAATATTTCTACGAATACATTTCAATTCATGTGTTATTATAAATTTATAATTCAAATCCCATCACAATTTTTAGCTTCTTTTCTCATGTTGATTGTTTCAGATCGAAAAGTACTCATTTTTGAACTAGACATCCGAATGTCCCTTTCAAAGCATAATTTTAAACTTAGATATGAGTTGAAACAAATACAACCCATGTCAAACGAGTTTCAAGAAATGGATGTGAACTGTAGGATATACATCCAAGAAATGTTTGACAAGTATTTTAAATTAAATATTTAAATCATATATCATATAATTGAGTACATTTCTGAAAAAATGTATGCATATATGCAAGGAGTGTCCATGAAGTTTAGGTGAGGGTACATGTCAGGTATGGGTGCGGCTTCATGATAGTAAGTACCCGGGTAATGTAATACCCAAGTAACATAGCCTATCACTTAGCTACCTCTATCACTTCCAATTGACCACCTTCTTTACCCTTCCACCATCACTTGTAGCATATCATAAATGACTAACACTTACTCTTCATACTTGACATTCTTTCTCTAGTCTCTTGTGACTCAATAAGCTAAGACATTGCCATATTGATGGCGAAATAACCATAGTTTTGGGTAGAATGCGTGATTTCGCATTGGTTGCACAAGAGATGAGAACCAATTCTGTCTAGGTTACATTTTTTCATGCTTCCATTACGCATAAATAAAAAAGGACTTGCCATTTAATGCTCTTCTAAGATGTCATGTTTTCAGGTTGAGAACAATGATAAAAAGAAGACTTTCTAATTTTATCAACCAATGAACTATGCCTTGTGAAATAAATTGTAATATATCGTTTCTCGTCTTTGGGTACATGTATAATCCAATTAGCATATATTGTTAATAAGGAAATAATGATGGATATCTTACTTTTTCAGAGCTTTTCAAGGTTTGAAAATTGAAATAACTCAAGGATAAGAAATTAATGTGTAGTTTTCTAGCAATTTAATGAAGATCCACAAGCCATTCACTTGTAAATCATGAACCCTTGTTAGTAGCTCTGGGGTTGCTCTCTATCCATGTCTAACCAAAAGGATGATGGGTATTCATAAAGTAGTGAATCCCAACTGATTTCTCTTCTATTTCCGAATTAGTCATTTTAATAATATAGTAGTTGCCATTGTTACCTAATCTCGATTCAGATAGCTGTTGGATGATCTTGAGACTGGAATATGAATCCAACTAATCTAATTGATGGTTGCAAATTATTACTGCTCCTGATTATTTTGAAATTATAGGTGGGGACTAAATCGGTGGTTCAACTTTCAGGAAATCTATTAACTATGGTAGATAAAAGATTTTAACCTGCTCCAAAGTTTGGGAAAATGTGAATTATCTATTATTAAACATCTAGACATATGATTTTGCAGACCTGTAAGAAAAAAGAGTAGTGTTTAGGGCCTTACTAATATTACATTTTAATAGTTCAGTGAGTGAAAATAAATTTTAATAGTTTGTTAGAAAATTCTAAGGCCTTACTAATATTACATGTTTCCTTAGACAATTCAAAAGCCTTACTGATACCCATACTTTGGATAACTTATATATGTATGTACATACATGTCTATGTATGTACATGACTTCCCCAGGAGCAATACATTTGTTTGTGTAGAACAATGTCGGGTATAGCTATGTGTACACTTGTGAAGGAACCAAGGATTAGATGTGTGCATATATAACAAGGGTGGAAGACTGGAATATTATGGTTTGTGAATGATGGAACAGGGAGTAGACAAATGATGAGATGAATATGGCATGCATCATGATGTCAGAAGTTAAATTTATCGAAATTAGAGACAATGCAATGTGATAAACGTGCTGTAGTGCTTGTATGCCATGTGTATGTAATAACTGAACTAAATGTGATGAAATGTGTAGGGTGTGATGTATGTAATGAAATTAGGCACCTGCTGTGTAGTTTACTACTCGAGCCAGACTCCAAGCGCTTACAATGCTGAGATGTGTCAAATACCGTGAAGAGAATAGGAAGCTGTGATGGTTGTAATGTCAGGTGGAGGTCCATAGGAGGAAGAATGCACAAAAAATTGTAAGTGTTTGCCGAATGCTTGAATGAGGGATTATCAAATTAACGATTTAGCAAATTGAAAATTAAACACAGTTGGTTGATTGCCCTAGAATCATAAGCCCTACTGCTTGCCAAAGAAAATTTACATATATTTAGTTAGCAACGTAATTTCGCACGCTGCCATCTTTAGGACACTAACTAGAATGTCAAATGAGGCATGCATTCCTCTAATCTTGGAGGTGGTTTGTACTTACATGTAAACAACTCATGAAATGCGAACTGATAGTTTCACATCTGCGAGCATGCGAAGACATAAAGTGAGACATGGCTGATCCTGATCAAGTTCAACAAGGTTTGCCGTGCCATGGACCATTAACAGAAGGTTTGATAAATCACGACTAGATGTCTACGCTGAGAGTCACTAATAGAGATCCATGCTAATCATGGATCACAAACAGATATGGTCATCATTGAGACAGACAGTGACTGAAGTTTAGCATTTAGGAAGTTGTCTTTGATGGGTTATTTCACAGTGATGCATGTCTCTCTTACTCCCAAGTAAAAAATCCAGCCTCAACAGGCAACAGGCAAGTCTAAATAACAGTACGTGGAACGGTTATCAGAGCTTCTCAGTTTATGATATTAACCAGATGAATGGGGATGTTGAGAAATGCCGAACAAGGAGAGAGGGGTAAGCGAATAAAGGGCGGTGGATGGCTCATGGTAATAGTAGAATAATGACTCGGAGTGGGACCTATTGAACTAAGTTGAAAGATGCAGAGTGCACTGTCCTCCAAAGGAAAAAGTTACAGCCTATAGAGGGGATTGGTTAACCAGCATAAGTTTTCATCTTTGGATGAAAAATCATCCTGAACTTTCCAGCTTTAAGTTGCTCAAGATACCCAAAAAAATTCTCAATAAAAATACTTGAAACTAGCATCGACATAATACGATAACAAGGAATATGCATGCAAGGGATGTTCCTTAAAAATATGAAATCACATTTACTAAACAAATGGAATTATATCATACGGATATAAATTAAACACAACATTACAATGTTTTACGAAGGTAACAATGTTCAGTTATCTACTAGCTCTTGTTTACCATCATGGACTGATAGTTAAATTCTACTGCAAGTCTGCAATTACTTAATTACTAGCTCTTGTTTCCCATCATGGTCTGATAATTTTTCCATAGATACATAGCTGAAGAATTTAATATCATTCAGGTTAGAATACAAACTGATCTTTCGTATTGTACACACACTTGTGACTGAGAGTTTACTGGCAAAAACAGAAGGGAAGTTGGGAACATACCTCAAGTTTTGAAGCAAGATGCTTCTCAGCTGCATTATGCAGAACAACTTTTTCATACTGGATAGAAGGTAGTTTTTTTGCTTCTATGGCATTTCCTGGCACACAAGAAAGTGGAAGAATAGAATCAGATGCCACAAGAGGTGATTTATTCTTTCTTAGTCGCTCCGCCATCTGAGAGTTCAACCATGCTCGAAAATCATGAAGAGAAGGTTGCTTTTGAACTTGCTGAGATCCATCCTCATCATCTGAATCAACAACTATCACTGACATGGTATCTGCTCCCGTTTTATCTTTTGATTCTTGCGGTTCTTCTAAATCAATAACATCCTTCATTTCTTTAGATCCGGGTGATGGTTCGGATTCAGTAACAACATAAGACTGAGAAAGCTTTTGTGGACCTAAACAAGGACCGGAAAAAGGTGGTTGAAATGACAGATAACCAAACACCTGCTTTCTTTGAGTCTGCAAAGCTTCATAATCTTTCGTAACACTTCCATATTTCCCACCATCTTGAAAAAGATTGGATACGACATAAGGATCCGAATAATCGACTACATTTTTGGAAGCCCTATCTTCTGCATTACATGAATGTAAATGTTAGATAATAAGATTATTAACAAGAAATGCATACAACTGTGAGGCATCAAACAAGCCCAAGGTCAAAAGGAATTTTGTCAAATAAAACCTCGTCTCCAACTAACACAAAAGAACTCCCTACGCAAGAATCGATCATAATCTATAAATGGCATTAAAGCTTATTAACCTTCATAGTGAATGCAGTCAAGAAACAGATTATACCCACCGCATTTCATAGCGGGAATAGACAACAAAAACACCAAAGCAGTCTCTTCTCCTTTTTCTGTTCTGCCTTATATTCAAAAACTCGCCATATACCAATCAGTAAATAGCTAAAATCATTTAGGGCTCTAAATGACATTCTCTTCAACCCACACATAACTTTTTTAGGCATTTAGAAACCCGTTTCCCTTATACGAGGTTCTCAGTTTAAATCTTCCCAATGCAGCAGGCTCAGCATTTGACAACTCAGGCACAATACGCTTCAAGGCAAAAATATTAGTTCAACTTGTCCTAATCCACGTATACAGAATGAGAACCAGTTAGAATTCCAGCTAAGTAGAGGAGTTCTTCAAATTAAAAGCATAAACCAACAACAAGAGCTAAGGCCAGACTACACTGTACACTGCTCAAGCAAAACTCATGGTAAAACTCTCTACTTGTCTACTCTAATAATTAAACTCAACTAACCCACAATTCTCTCTGTGCACTAAATGTAGAAAAAACATCCACTACAAAGTAAGGATAATCCAATGTAACGCCAAAATCAACGAGACCCCAAAATTTGCGAGAAATTTCAAATTCAGCGCAATTGTGACCTCATTGCTCCTCCAATTGAGAAAAATAACAAAGGGAAATCCACCGCATTTCAAAGAATTAAGGGGGAAACTCAAACAATCAATTCAAAGGAGAGAATCGAAAGCTCACCGGATCCTAGCATCGAGTCCGGTGAGGGATCGACGGAGAGAAACTCCACCGAGAAATGGGAGAGGGGATTTGGAGAGAGGTCGAAGACGCAGTTATTCGATTAGGGTTCAGAGCGAGAGAGAGAGAGAGAGAGAGAGAGAGAGCGAGCGAGCGAGGACAGAGAGGTTTTCGTTGAGGGGGGCGCTCTCAACGAGGCCTGGCATTTGGGAGCAACCAGTGGGAGTGGGACCCACTGTTATGACGTCTGAGGCTGACGGATGGACCCCACTGGTGACTGTGCTCGGGTTGGTGTCACCGTCATTTTTTTCGTAGGCTGTGAGTCTCTCTCACTCCGTTTTCTGAAAGGGCATTTTTATTTAAAAAACCATTTTGGGAAAAATGTGTCCAGGCCCCAAAAGCAGAAACTTCATGTGACAAGGCCCCTCATAGTTTTTTCCATGTGGATCAGCCGCTTGAAGTGTGACACTTTGTACTGCAGCTCCTTTTTATCAATTATCACATGCCAGCTAAGTTAAAATTCTCAAACTATCATTATCCTCTCTCCTCAATATCTCTGACTCAGCACTCATATCATCTCTCTCTCATCTCCTCTCTCTCTCTCTCACCTCTCTCTAAAACTAAGAGCTTTCTCAAGCTCGTCGTCCTGGCCGAGACGCACAGAGCATTAATCTATTAGCTAGAAGAAGAAAAAAAAAAAGGTAAGGAGAAGTAGAGTAGAAGGGGAATGAAGAGAAATGCCGTAATTAAGAAAGAACGAAAATGTGTATTAATGTATCTCTATGAATGAAATTGCCACGGTGCCGTCGAGCGATATTCGAAGCAATATAACGAGAGGTAGAAAATAAGCCCAAATGAAAGAAAGATATCGTGTGATAGACAATATAAAGGGCTACACACCGGCGCAGACGGTAGTGAAAACGGAGACCGGAGGTGGCCGTAAAACACGCGCGAAGTCGGCACGGCGCTGCTGTTTTCTGCTCGCTGCTGCCGTCGAGCGATGTTTCGGATGTTACCGAGAGAGATAGAGAATGAGTTAGAGCGTGATAAAAATTGGAGGTGATAGGCAACAAGTAGGGCTACTCACCAAAGAAGAAATCGGCGGAAACGGAGATTGGAGGTGATCAGAAAGTGCGTGCGAAGTCGGCACAAAACTATAGTTTTTTGCAGTGCAATTTCTCGCCGTTCGGGTTTGTTCTTCGCTGTTCGGAGATTTTCGCCGCTGTACGGGCTTACCGGAGGTGGGAGGAGGTTGCCGGGGTCGTCAGGGTGTCTCAGTGGGCTCCGTCGGAGGTAGGAGGAGCTTTTTTCCGTTCCCAAGAGCCTAGAACTAAGATGAATTAGAGCTAGAACTAGCTAGAACTAGCAAGATAGAAGCTAGAACTGGGGGTATACATGCTAGAACTAGGGTAATAGAAGCTAGAGCTAACGTAGAAGAAAGAACTAGCAAGTGTGCATGTAAAAAACCCTTGTTGGGTTTAGAACTAGCAAGATAGAAGCTAGAACTGAGGTTATACAAGCTAGAACTAGGGGTGGAAATGAACCAAATAATTAACAAATAGTTCGATAATTGTTCGAATAACTATATTACTTGTATTATTGCACATATGATGTCATATTTTTAACCTACATACCATTTCTACTTGAGCTTTATATCCTGATTTTAAGACTTAAATAATCTTAAATCTGTTTTCTAATTAAAATTTTGATTTAAATATATAGACATCATATAATATAAAGGAATATTTTTATTTATGAATTTTAATATTATTTAAAAATTAAATTTTATAGCGGAATAAATATACTTTGATATTCGATAAGTATTCGTGAATATTCATGAATATTTATCAAATACCAAGTATTCGAGTTCGAATTCGAAAAACTAGATATATGAATATCTGAGTCCGCATTCGAATTCGATAATTTTAAACAAATACAAATACGAACACCTTAGTATTCGATTCGATTCGATCGTTTACCACCCCTAGCTAGAACTAGGGGAATAAAAGCTAGAACTAACGTAGAAGAAAGAACTAGCAAGTGTGCAAGTAAAAAACCCTAGTTCTAGCACACTTGTTCAATAGGTTTTTACATGCACACTTGTTTTACACACTTGTGAGTTCTTTCTTCTACGTTAATTCTAGCTTCTATTCCCCTAGTTCTAGCTTGTATACCCCCAGTTCTAGCTTCTATCTTGCTAGTTCTAAACCCAACAAGGGTTTTTTACATGCACACTTGCTAGTTCTTTCTTCTACGTTAGGTCTAACTTCTATTACCCTAGTTCTAGCATGTATACCCCCAGTTCTAGCTTCTATCTTGCTAGTTCTAGCTAGTTCTTTCTTCTACGTTAGTTCTAACTTCTATTCCCCTAGTTCTAGCTTGTATACCCCCAGTTCTAGCTTCTATCTTGCTAGTTCTAAACCCAACAAATGGTTTTTTACATGCACACTTGTTAGTTCTTTCTTCTACGTTAGTTCTAGCTTCTATTCCCCTAGTTCTAGCTTGTATACCCCCAGTTCTAGCTTCTATCTTGCTAGTTCTAAACCCATCAAGGGTTTTTTACATGCACACTTGCTAGTTCTTTTTTCTACGTTAGTTCTAGCTTCTATTCACCTAGTTATAGCTTGTATACCCCCAGTTCTATCTTCTATCTTGCTAGTTCTAAACCCAACAAGGGTTTTTTACATGCACACTTGCTAGTGCTTTCTTCTACGTTAGTTCTAGTTTCTATTCCCCTAGTTCTAGCTTGTATACCCCCAGTTCTAGCTTCTATCTTGTTAGTTCTAAACCCAACAAGGGTTTTTTCCATGCACACTTGCTAGTTCTTTCTTCTACGTCAGTTCTAGCTTCTATTCACCTAGTTCTAGCTTGTATACCCCCAGTTCTAGCTTCTATCTTGCTAATTCTAAACCCATCAAGTGTTTTTTATATGCACACTTGCTAGTTCTTTCTTCTACGTTAGTTCTAGCTTCTATTCACCTAGTTCTAGCTTGTATACCCCCAGTTCTAGCGTCTATCTTGCTAGTTCTAAACCCAACAATGGTCTTTTACATGCACACTTGCTAGTTTTTTCTTCTACGTTAGTTCTAGCTTCTATTCCCCTAGTTCTAGCTTGTATACCCCCAGTTCTAGCTTCTATCTTGCTAGTTCTAAACCCAACAAAGGGTTTTTTACATGCACACTTGCTAGTTCTTTCTTCTACGTTAGTTCTAGCTTCTATTCACCTAGTTCTAGCTTGTATACCCCCAGTTCTAGCTTCTATCTTGCTAGTTCTAAACCCAACAAGGGTTTTTTACATGCACACTTGCTAGTTCTTTCTTCTACGTTAGTTCTAGCTTCTATTCACCTTGTTCTAGCTTGTATACCCCCAGTTCTAGCTTCTATCTTGCTAGTTCTAAACCCAACAAGGTTTATTACATGCACACTTGCTAGTTCTTTCTTCTACGTTAGTTCTAGCTTCTATTTCCCTTGTTCTAGCTTGTATACCCCCAGTTTTAGCTTTTATCTTGCTAGTTCTAAACCCAACAAGGGTTTTTTACATGCACACTTGCTAGTTCTTTCTTCTACGTTAGTTCTAGCTTCTATTCACCTAGTTCTAGCTTGTATACCCCCAGTTCTAGCTTCTATCTTGCTAGTTCAAAACCCAACAAGGGTTTTTTACATGTACACTTGCTAGTTATTTCTTCTACGTTAGTTCTAGCTTCTATTCCCCTAGTTCTAGCTTATATACCCCCAGTTCTAGCTTCTATCTTGCTAGTTCTAAACACATCAAGGGTTTTTTACATGCACACTTGTTAGTTCTTTCTTCTACGTTAGTTCTAACTTCTATTCCCCTAGTTCTAGCTTGTATACCCCCAGTTCTAGCTTCTATCTTGCTAGTTCTAAACCCAACAAGGGTTTTTTACATGCACACTTGCTAGTTCTTTCTTCTACGTTAGTTCTAACTTCTATTCCCCTAGTTCTAGCTTGTATACCCCCAGTTCTAGCTACTATCTTGCTAGTTCTAAACCCAACAAGGGTTTTTTACATGCACACTTGCTAGTTCTTTCTTCTACGTTAGTTCTAGCTTCTATTCCCCTAGTTCTAGCTTGTATACCCCCAGTTCTAGCTACTATCTTGCTAGTTCTAAACCCAACAAGGGTGCACACTTGCTAGTTCTTTCTTCTACGTTAGCTCTAACTTCTATTACCCTAGTTCTAGCATGTATACCCCCAGTTCTAGCTTCTATCTTGCTAGTTCTAGCTCTAATTCATCTTAGTTCTAGCTCTTGGGAACGGAAAAAAGCTCCTCCTACCTCCGACGGAGCCCACCGAGACACCCCGACGACCCCGGCAACCTCCTCCCACCTCCGGTAAGCCCGTACAGCGGCGAAAATCTCCGAACAGCGAAGAACAAACCCGAACGGCGAGAAATTACACTGCAGAAAACTATAGTTTCGTGCCGACTTCGCACGCACTTTCTGATCACCTCCAATCTTCGTTTCCGCCGATTTCTTCTTTAGTGAGTATCCCTACATGTTGCCTATCACCTCCAATTTGTATCACGCTCTAACTCATTCTCTATCTCTCTCGGTAACATCCGAAACATCGCTCGACGGCAACAGCGAGCAGAAAACAGCAGCGCCGTGCCGACTTCGCGCGTGTTTTACGGCCACCTTCGGTCTCCGTTTTCACGACCGTCTGCGCCGGTGTGTAGCCCTTTATATTGTCTATCACACGGTATCTTCCTTTCATTTGGGCTCATTTTCTACCTCTCGTTATATTGCTTCGAATATCGCTCGGCGGCACCGTGGCAATTTCATTCATAGAGATACATTAATACACATTTTCGTTCTTTCTTAATTACGACATTTCTCTTCATTCCCCTTCTACTCTACTTCTCCTTACCTTTCTTTTTTTTCCTTTTTTTTCTTTTCTTCTTCTAGCTAATAGATTAATGCTCTGTGCGTCTCGGCCAGGACGACGAGCTTGAGAAAACTCTTAGTTTTAGAGAGATGTGAGAGAGAGAGAGAGGATATGAGAGAGAGAGATGATATGAGTGCTGGGTCAGAGAGATTGAGGAGAGAGGATAAGGGTAGTTTGGGAATTTTAGCTTAGCTGGCATGTGATAATTGATAAAAAGGGGCTGCAGTACAAAATGTCACACTTCAATGGGCTGATCCACATGGGGAAAACTATGAGGGGCCTTGTCACATGAAGTTTCTGCTTTTGGGGCCTGGACACATTTTTCCCAACAATTTTTAGATTCTCCTCCGTTTTATGAAAAGCAATTTTTTTTCTTTAAAAAAACAATTTTGATTTAATTATAAAATTAA